TGAAGGAAAAGTAGAAAAAAATTCGGTAAGATGCAGACAATAAATGGGTAACATTCAAGGAAAACAACCATTATTCGGTGAAATTTATTTTGTTCCGTAGATCGCAGTCCTTACCAAGCCATGCGCCTGCGTACAAAATTGCAACCCAAGGGTAACACGAGTTGTACTCATAGAATGGCACAAAATCTTAAGCTTCCAGTGCTCAAGCTAGTGCTCTGAAGATATTTCTGAGGTAAGACCACTGATACGAATTTGAAAACTCAACAACATCTCCAATTTGCTAATGTCAGTTCAAAATCCCATTCTGCTGCATCCCAACCGTCCCCTCGCACACTTAAACATGCGCCTTCTTACAATCAAACGAAAGACGTACTCGAACACGTGCCGCGGCCTCGGTCGGACATCTTTTGCCCAACGTTCTGACCTGCGCAGTCCGGTGGAGGCATGGCTGAGAGGACGGCCACCTCTCCCCCGTCCCTGCCCCGCGCCTCCAGCACAAATCGTGCCCACTTGCGCCGCGGCCGAAGAGCGCGGACGGCTCGAGGGCCTCGTAAACTGCAGCGAATTCTCGCCGCCGAAGCACTCCAGCCGGTCCTCGAGCAAGAGGTTGACGGCTCGAGCACCGAGCAAATACCGTCAGCCGGCTGCGTCACGCCGCCGCCGCGTCACGTTCGGGGTCGCGCCGCATCTGCCGCCGCGTCAGGTCCGCCGCCGGACGAACTCTGCGGTGCTCAGGAGACCTTTCTGGGGCGGAGAGTTCGCTGGTACGGCGCCGAGGGACCCAGACGAGTGCATTCCGAGGCTCGGAATAACAACAGTCTCGGCCAGGCTCGGTCAGACCCGTGTGAGGGATGCTGCTCGCTGGATCCGTCCCGCAAAGGGACACTGTTTATGCGTGCCGGAAAGTTTACTGATTTGTCTACCTATACGCATCGTGAGGCCAGTTCATGCATGTGATGACCCTCCGATCAGGCAAATATAAAACGGTAGGTCTAAATTTGAACTCTCACGAACAACACGAAGCATACATTCGTTCGAGCATGATAAAACAGACGAGACATTGCGTTTTTAAGGAAGTAGGTGAAGGCAACTCAATGAACTGATAAGGCGAATACAATGGCGAAGTAAGTGTTACAACCGTGGCGAAGTGCGACAAAATGCACATTTTATGCGGTTTACGTAAAACAATATCCTTAAAAGTGAAGACGAGACAAAATAATTAGACAAAGTGAACAGAATATATGAAAAAGTAAAATTTAAGTAAAATGATTACTGTTCGGATCAGTTTGTTTTGTTCCGTAGATCTCAGACATAGTCATGCGCCGCATACAGAATTGCAGCGCGTGCGTGACACGAGTTGTAACCATAAAGCCGCACAAACTGACAAGCCGCCTTGTCAGTACCTCGCTGCTCCTCTTCATGTAGTTTCTCCGCCTGGTCTTACGACGCGTTGGGCCGGGTAAATGAAGAGCTGGAGGCAGGGCACTGAATCTGGGGCTGCAGTATAGGCGGGGCACTGAATCTGGGGTTGCAGTATAGGCAGGACACTGAATTTGGGGCTGCAGTATAGGCAGGGGACTGAATCTGGGGCTGCAGTATAGGCAGGGGACTGAATCTGGGGCTGCAGTATAGGCAGAGCACTGAATCTGGGGCTGCAGTATAGGCAGGGCATTGAATCTGGGGCTGCAGTATAGGTGTACTAGGTCTTCCGCAGGACATCACTTATATGATCGTATCCCAGGAAACCTTCCACGAACGGTAAACGATGCCTAGTTCCGTTGACCGAATCGGACCGCCTTACTGAGATGGTTCTGTGGATTACTTTCAATCATAAGTTTCTCACAACGGTGCAGTTTCACATGGGCTTGTAATGGGATGCTATTTTTTTCGTAAGCAATCTATTGTCGGTCGATCTTTTATCTTTTTCCAACATTTAACATCGGGAATTAGACTTCAAGCATCCGAGAGCAGGGGGTAAATCAGGTTTTAGGGGCAGGTTACGTTAAGATTATCGGCTGAACGACCTCAAACCAATTTTAACCAGTTACACCACTAGTCGTGCTTCCTTTGCCCGGTAATAGCAATAAAAAACTCTTCAAAGTTTACAGCTTCTGTATTCGGCCTAGCTGCGCGGCATTCATTGCTCAATAAACTGCGATAGAGCACCGGATTAGAGATACCACGAGTCCCCCTAGTAACGTGGCCAGATAAGACTGCGGCAGTCACGAGTCCCCCTAGTAGCGTGACCAGATAAGACTGCGGCAGTCACGAGTCCCCCTAGTAGCGTGACCAGATTAGACTGCGGCAGTCACGAGTCCCCCTAGTAGCGTGGCCAGATAAGACTGCGGCAGTCACGAGTCCCCCTAGTAACGTGGCCAGATAAGACTGCGGCAGTCACGAGTCCCCCTAGTAGCGGGACCAGATAAGACTGCGGCAGTCACGAGTCCCCTAGTAGCGTGACCAGATTAGACTGCGGCAGTCACGAGTCCCCCTAGTAGCGTGACCAGATAAGACTGCGGCAGTCACGAGTCCCCCTAGTAGCGTGACCAGATTAGACTGCGGCAGTCACGAGTCCCCCTAGTAGCGTGACCAGATTAGACTGCGGCAGTTTGGGCCTCTTGTGACTGAGACCATCGGTACATCGTCATCACCTGACAGCGTCGTCAATGTATGTGCCCATAATGTCATGCGTTGGTCAGTCATCCTTGGTTCTGTGCCATGGGAGAACCGGCGGCAGTTGTAGTCACGAATTGAATGCGACGGTATAAAGCAGCGCAACGTTTTGGTGACAGCCGATAATAACATACTGGGTTACCTGTGCGTCAAGTTTCAAGTTTTTTTACGACACCACCGACCGCAATAGGGAAAATTTTGCTCCGTGGCGCGTGCAGAGGTGTAAATAACACAAGGACTCCCAGATCTCAGATCCTGCCTGTCGTACACATATTGCACCACGGTCGCGTCGTCTGCATTAAGGAACAAGTCATAAATACGTACATAAATACGTGCAGTAGAGGTCTCAAGGCTGACCCCTGGTAGAGGTTAGTGTCGACAGGATCCAGGAGCGGCCGAGGGTCATGCTCGTTAGATGGTGCCTCGACGTGCACGCGTTGATGATGATCAGTCAGGAAGCCGTTAAACCAGCTGTCGCTTACACCATAGAACCGGGGTTTGCGGGCAAAATGATCGTGCATAATAACTTTAAAACATTTAGGCAGATCCAGCAGGCAGAGCTCTATTCAAAGTTATGTGTACGAGGGTGAATTAGCATACGCTCGTGAGAGTTGAGGATTTGGTGATCATTGGAACTAAATTACTCTGACGCTTGCAACAACTTTTGGCGGAGTTTTGTGCGACTGGACACGTGTTCCTGGGATGAAATAACCTTTAGCTCAGAACTCAATCATTATTTTTGCGCAATGTCGCGAAAAACGGACTTTTCCGAACAGATGCCAAGACCATAGACGCTATCGGACTGCAAAGTCCCGGAAAAGAACCTGTGAAGATGTGTTCGAACGTAGAACATCTCCTCTCCTCATGTATCGTAATTGCAATCATGAAGCATGCGATTTTCTGACTGAATACCCAAATCCGCAATAAGCCACCATGCCTAATTGAGAAATATTTTTCAAGGGTAAAGTACATCAATGGTGAAGAATGCCACTACGAGGTAGGAAAAAAGCAGTTCATAGAATGAACTTTCGAGGCGCTTTGCGACTGCGTCTTCAGATTCCACGTTGGTGGTGAGTCCGGTCTTCATAAGATTTCAAATTTATTCAAGTGTGAGTGTCCCTCGGAGCTTCTTTTCATACGAACAGATAAAATATTAAAAACAGCAGGCGGGGGCGATTAAGAATTAGCCTATCAGGCTCCTTCCCCGCTATAAAGTCCAGTTTTACCGGCTTCAGGTAAAACTCTTAATTCGACTGACCAGAATGAGAAATCAGCTATGTTAAAAAACCGCCATCATACACAAGGAGCAACGGCGTGTTTTGCGGGC